GTTTTCTCTTGAAAAAAGAAGAATTAGATATGATCTGATTGAGGTGTTTAAGATTATAAAGGGAATTGATAGTGTTGGTGCATCTTTTTTTTTTCATACTTAACAGTGAGAATAGTAGGACTAGGGGACACAAATATAAATGTTGGCATAGTAGGAGTCATCTTCAGCTAAGACAGTTATATGTTTCTAACAGGGTGGTTGGTCTCTGGAATGGGTTGACTTGGGATGTTGTGGAGGCAGTAAGTTTAAGTGAGTTTAAGAGAAAGCTTGATAAGCATATGAATGATAAGAACTGGCTTTAAGATTTTCTTTAAATTTATTTATTAATAGTTGTAATGTTATTATTTTACATATGATGTCCATTTTCTGTTTAAGACTATATATAATAATAAATAAATTTCCAGAGATAATTTATTAGCATTCCAATGTAGAAAAATAAAATTTTGTATATAATGACTTTCAACTTATTTGTACAAAGCTATACAGTGTGTGTGCTCACCATAGTTATCGAAACCTGATTTTTAGTGTTATAAGCCCTCAGGCTTACCGCTGAGTCACTCAAACACTGATTGTGTTAAAAGGTCAATATACATCTGTTTGTAAGAGAAGTTTTTCTGCAACATGATAACGCCAGACTCTTATATTGTTTGTTTAGTAACGAATGAAATTTAAAAGTTCGGATAGACAGTATTTTTCCATCCCACCTATTACATTGCGATTTTCACCTGTTTAGTCTTCTCAAGGTCGGATTGTGGACTAAACTTCTTAAGGCAGCTGTACACATCAATATTCATAATACCACACCTGCACATTAGGGACCTAATGTGATGAGGTTTGCGAAACAGTGAAGGAAATGCATCGTATTTAGTGAATATAATTCAGAATATGCTAAAACCGGTTTTGTACTAATTCAACCGTAGGTATTACTTTTTATAGCACGATTCGATCAAAGAAGCTGTCTGAGATTTACTGGTATAGAACGTCGAATTCTACCTTGTCTTGTGGATGAAGAACTGTTATACGACTATCACGTGGAGCAAAGATAATCCCGGTATATGTGATACAACATTCTGATTGTTCAATTATGAGAGATTGTAGGAGCAGTTTAGACGTTTTCAATCACATTCTTTTCTGAGACCCGAGTGTGAAAACTTTCTCGTGAAGTTTCGTCCTCGATGTAATTTCTCTATCTGTTGCTTCTTGGCCTGCTGATCTTGTAGGCATAATTTTTTAACGATTAAACCACCGTCAATTACCATTTCATTTGCGGATAAAAATGTATTTTAATTTTTTTCTTTTAAGCAGAGATTATTTTCATCTGTTTATTATTAATACAGTTCATTTCATTTTTAACTAACTACAACGCAACAGTACTCCACTTTGAACGATCAGCTATTATTCTGTTACTAGTATTTAGCCATTGAATAGTTTATTTTTGCTCATCTTCACTTCGAGTCTTCTTTCTATCCCACATAACAGTTTACTAAACCTGTCCTTTCAAAGGCTAGGTCTGGAAGTATCGCGTTACTTCGAAAATCTGATAACTGAGTACTTTAGTTATCCTTTGAATGTCAAACATAAAGGACAAAAGTCAGACAATGCATAATATTTATATACAATTCTGACACTGTCTAGCGGTGGGTGTAGACCAAAGACGTGATTGACAGCAGCTATTGTCTGATTTGCGGAAAAGAATGGTTCAACTTGTTAATTAAATGCTATACTATTCGCGTAAGTTAACCAAACAACCCGCAATTTACACACAAAACTCCACTTGGAAAAAGCTAAATATATACACCTGGAAAAAAGTTAAGCACCCCCAA